AAGGTAAATGAAGCAACTAATAGATGATTTTCTTTTTACACAGCCCAAATCATTTTTTCCCCCTGGTTTTGCTGGCCTTTTGCTTCTCTGCTCCTCCAGTGTTTATTACCATCAGCACCACTGTTCCCAGGACTGTCTTAGTAACACGGGGTCTAATCCTCCTCACCCACCAGGCTACAAAGTACATACATCACACTCTTAATTCCTCCTAGCTCTTTCAGGAAGCCTTTCCTGGGCCTCAGAAGGGTGCAGGACCTGGACAGCCCCCCGACCAAGGCCAAGGGAATTCATCACGTGTGTCCATTTGTTTATCCTTTTACTCTTTCAAAGACATGGGTCAAACAGGTCGAAAGGTAGATACTTCTAGTTATAAAATACATAAATTGTGGGGATATAATATACAGCATGGTGGCCATAGTTAATAACACTGTGTTGTATATTCAAAACCTGTTAAGAAAATAAATCTTAAAAATTCTCATCACAAGAAAAAATTCTGTTAACTATATTCGGTGACTGATGTTAACTAGACTTACTGTGATGATCCTTTCACAGTATACACAGATATTGTGTTATATGCCTGAATCTAACATAACACATGTCAATTATGGAAAAAAGTGCAAGTGTTAGTCGCTCACTCCTGTTCAGTTCTTTGCAACCCCATGGACTGTAGCCTACCAGGCACCTCTGTCCATGGGATTTTCCAGGCCAAATACTGGAGTGGTTGCCTGCTATTTCCTTCTCCAGGGGATCTTCCCGACCAGGGATCAAACCCACGTTTCTTGCATTGCAGGCAGATTCTTTAGTGTCTGAGCCTCCAGGGAAACCCATGTCAATTATACTTTTTTTTTATACAATTTTTTTTAACTAAAAAAAATCCATAAACTTCCTGGCAGCACCTGGTGAACAGACCCTCAATAAATGCTGTGGAGCAGCAGGATGTGACAAGCACAGCTTTGCAAAGCCCCCTCTGCGAACGGTAACATGTAGGGCCACCAGCTTCCTCTCCTGGATCCCCACGTGCTTGTGGGCCAAAGGCGGACAATATATCTACCTCACAACTTCCACCCACATCCAAGCTGAAGTTCCTACGAGTTTAAATAACCGAAGCAGCTTTGGGCATTGGAGGCTGTGTGTGTGGAAGGGAGTCACTGAGAATCAGTTACTTACATATTGAGGGATGTGATCAGTATGAGGCAATGTTTTTGAATAGTTGAATGTGACTTGAGAAAACCATTTTAAGAGAAAAACAAATGGTGTTGTGACGACCCCTAAGTTAGAGAAACCTGGATCTGGAAGGGAAGGGGCCATGTGCTTGTTTTCCTCTGGAGACACTGTGTGAACCTGCGACACGGGGGTGTGGTCCTAACACTCCGGAAACCTCCCCCAGCCCCACCAGGGCAGGCCCCAGGTGTGTTTGTGGACCCAGCCCCATCTGAACATTGGAGCCATTCAAAACTCTGCAGGAGACAGTTACTGTCCATTGGCTCAAACATCTTCTGAGGGTCCAACCCCATGACATCCAGAAGTCATCGTGCCTTCCCAGTGGGTCTGGGCCCTGACCCATGGAGTAATAGGGGTCCTCCCTGGACACGGGTGGGATACACCCATCCCTACTTGCAGAGTTTGGGCAGAAGGTGTGGAATCTCAGGCTCTGTTTCCATTTCAGGACCTGGTATTCAAGCGTTTTGTAACTTTATTCTGTCGAACAGAGCGTACCTTTAGCAGAACTGGGAGGTACTGCAGTCCGGGAGCGATGTCTGGGGGCCCCGTGAGGGTGAGCCCACTGTGTTTGTCATCTGCCCCACCTCGGGGAAGGGGGCCCAGCCCTGCTCCAGTCCCCGTCCTGCAGCCCTGAGGTCCTCCCTGAGGCCTGGGGCTTGTCCTAACCTCAAGACCCCTCTCTCCATGTGCAAGGGTGTGGAAGCTGCCCACTCCCCACATCACGGCACAGAAGGAAGGACCCCCCCAAATCTCCCATGATCCTAATCAAACACCCCAGAGGGGGTGCAGGGTGAGGTCAGGGCTTCCCTCAGGAAAAAAAAAAAACAGCCCAGGGAAACAGAACAAGTAATTTTCACAAGTGACTCTGCTGCTTTCGATGACCACGTCTCAAACGTAAAGATTGTCAAAGAAGCAGGCAGCGTCGCTGCAGAAACAGGCATGTCTCCTTTTGTCTCAGATTGCGTCCAGAACCAGGGGCTGGAGACCCGCTTCCGCGGGAAACTACTTGGGGCCCCTCCTTATTGTATTCACCGGCTTCCCTTTCAACGTGATGCTCTTGCTGCTGAAAGAGCAAGGGTTCGTCAACATGCACCTTGCATCCGCCATGCCTTCCTCCTGTCTCAGTGAAAGAACAGGAAGCAGGTACGGAGATGCGTCGACCTCGGCGGAGAGGCAGAGCTGGTGTGGCCGCCAGTCGAGTCGCTCCGTGTTGTTCCTTTTTCTCAGTACAGACCCAGCTGTGAATCTGATACTTCCCTTCCCCCACTTTTCCTTTTTCCCCTGTTTTATGAGGCTGTCATCTTCAGGGCACCACCCTCTTCTCACAACAGAGCGAAAGGAAGGCTGGGAGGAAAAAGGTTTCCTGGAAGTGATTACGAGGCTGCTGCAGAAATCAGGAGATACGGTGGAAGGGAATTTTATTTTCTCTGTCTCTCTGCACTTGAGTCTCAAGTATGCCTCGTAAAACTATGCAATTAATCTGTCATGTACAGATTGGACAGAGTTCTAAACCTTAGAAAACACACCTCAGCAAAATGCAACATGCTTTCATTAAAAGCGTGAGAGGTAAGGTGATTTAAATTATTAAGAGTAGCTGCAGTGTATTTTTAGTGCTTGCGGCATCATGCATTGGTTTATGGAGCCTAGTTGCCCTAACCCAGCTCTGTCTGCATTGCTTTTTTGTTTTTTCTTCCTGCACTATCTTGTCTTTTAGGCTGTTTCAAGAATGGAGCCTACGTCTCCTCCAGGAATTCACTGAGACCAAGCCTCTCGCTACAACAGAACATGCCTCCTAGTACCTCTCCAAACATCTCTGAAGCTGTTTACTTTTCTCAGTGCCGACCTCTCTTCAGAAGGAATGATTTTCCTTCAGGAGCGAGGGCCCTTCATTTGCCTGGGAAATTGGAAACAGCAATTCATTGTCTAGTCATCCCATCCTCTCAGAGATACTGATAGAGATGGGTTTAAACCTTTACCACCCCTATTAATTATACACTTGAGATTTCAATGGCTGGTGAACAAAAATTTCACTACTACACTGTAGTCAGGCAGAGGGAGACAGTGGCGTATAAGTTGTAAATTTATGTAAAGCTACATCCGGGAAGGAATCCCCAGCGTGTGTACAGAGGGGGAACAAGCTAGTTTGTGATAGTAGGTACCAGCTGGGGAGCCTGGCACTGCCACCTAGCCTCTTGGGGGTGGATGGTGATGCGGTGGCATCACCGAGGTTCCCCCGAGGTTCATCAGAGGTGGCTGCCTCCCAGGCTGGGAGCTCCTTAGACATTAAATAGTAGTTTTTCAGAAACTTTTACTGTAACGGGTGATTCATCCTTACATTTGAGAGAACTGTGTGTGAGAGCAAACCAAATCCTGTCCATAATGTGTTTTTGTTGTTGTTGTTTAGTCGTTAAGTCGTGTCTGACTCTTTTGCGACTCCATGGACCGTAACCCTCCAGGCTCCTCTGTCCATGGGCTTTTCCAGGCAAGAAGCCTGGAGTGGGGTGCTATTTCCCTCTCCAGGGGATCCTCCTGACCTAGGGATCAAACCCTAGTCTCCCGGCTGGCTGGTGGATTCTCTACCATTGAGCCACCCAGAAAGCCCCTCTAACGTGTTCAAGTTCAATCCTCAGGAAGATGTGTGATCTCAGGGCACAAAACATGTGTCCTCTGTTCTAGGCCCTCAGATCTCCCCGACCAGCGTCTCCCTTCCCCACCTGCTTCAGCAGATGTACCATTGATTCCTCTCTCCTACATGAATGAAATGTGCACAAAAAATATCTTCACCATTTGCTTTATGAGAAACACTTGAAGCGGAAGATGTGTGTAGATACGCAGTATCTGCCCGCAGACATGAGGGCTGAGTTAACTGCATTTTCCTCTTCCGTTAGTGGCACAACTCCAACTGGGCAGGGTCTCTTCTTCATTTCAGCAATTAATTAATGACCAAAATTCCTTAAAAATTTTCACATTATTATATAAAGTAAAGAATTCAGACTTACTTTTATTAAAAACAGCAACAACAAAAACAGTTTGACTTGCAGTAGTATCAACAAGAAATACTTAGGGATAAATTTAACAACTGAAGTGCAAAACTCGGACACTGAAAACTCTAAAACATTGTCAAAAAAATTAAAGAAGACCTAATAAATTGAAAGACTCGTGTTCACGGATAGGAAGATTTGATAGTAAAGTGAAAGTACTCCTTACTTTCATCTGAGCAAACCCTAGTGTGTCTGTATTTGGAGGTGGGGCCTTTAGGGAGGTAATTAAGGTAAAATGGGGTCATGGGGTGGGACCTGGTCTGGTCAGACTGGTGTCCTTCTAAGAGGAGCAGGCGACACTGCACGCGCACTCACCAAGGCCCCAGTGAGAAGGTGGTGGTGGCTGCCGCAGAGGGACCAGCCGGGGGTCCCTTCAGTCCGCACCTTGATATCCCGCTTTCAGTCTCCAGAATCGAGAGAGATGAATGCCTGCCTCTCGGCCACCCAGGCCGTGGGGTTGGTTCCGGCCGCTGGCGCAGACCCACAGTGGGCTGGCCGTTCTCATGCTGGACACCCCGGGTCCTCTTGTCCTGTTTGGACGCCAGCTCCGACCTGCCACCTGGACACAGGGTCTCCCACCCCCAAACCGGGCTGGGTGCGGCGTGTGGTTCAGACCATGTTCCATGGGGAGAGGCGGGCAGTGTCGTCCCAGAAACAGGACGGGCGTACTCCAACATCTCCAGGCGCCGGGAGCAGGCAAGGGGCGAGCAAGGAGCGAGCTAGCGCCGAGCAAGCGCCATGACCCTGATGCTGCGCAGGCGCACGGGCAGCCCAGCAGCGCTCACGGACTTAAATGAAGCCGCCGGCGTCAGTAACGCGGATGCACAGTCATTATCCGAATGCAACTTTTTGCAGTAAAAGGTTACTTACAGGTAAGTGAGGAGCCCACATGGGGACGACAGGAAGGACAGGACAGCTCAAAGACTGTGCTGCCCATTGGGAGGGACCTTCCTTCTGTGACGTCTGCCCTTGTGGCCAAGGCTTCATGCCCCAAATCCATCAGTTGTATGTTTCCCTTTTAAGTGAAAATGACAGTGTAAAGACAATTCGTTTGTGGAACAAGAGCCCCAGATGAGAACTTTCCTCAGAATATTTTCCAAAAATCCTTAGAAAATGTGAACTTCTGGACTGGTTTTTAGAATTTATAGAACTGGGAAGACGTTGGTGTTGCCTCCTCAAGGTTTAACTTTCTTTAGTGATGGGGGAATTTCAGGTACAGTCCTCTAGGTTTGGATTTCTGCTACCTGATCTCAGTGAATCATTTAATTTGTCTAAACCCAAGCCTCCTCGTTTGCAAAATGAGAAAACTGAGTCATACCTGCTGTGTACAACTTGGGAGGATTCTTACCACAGTCAGTGTGGAAACGCACTGTAGGACACTCTGTAAATTGCATCCTGTTGGGAAACAGTGTCACAAAGTAGTAGTGACCACTCTGAACAGGCAACCCTCTCCTTTAAGTGGTCACCAGCTATGCAATATTCAGGAAGAATAATATGAGAAAGTATTTTTATCTGTCGCCCTTCATTCTTTCCCAAAGATGAAAACAATAATGGGAGTTTATTTCATGAATACTGAAAAAGAAATGTGTCCTGGATATGTAGTTACTTAATGTTTTAAAGAGGGCTTCTCAGGTGGCTCAGTAGTAAAGAATCTGCCTGCCAATGCAAGAGACGCAGGTTCAATCCCTGGGTCAGGAAGATCCCTTGGGGAAAGGACATGGCAGCCCACTCCAGTATTCTTGCCTGGAGAATCCCAAGGACAGAGGAGCCCTGGGATCACAAAAGAGCTACATGGGCTACAGTCTGTGGGGTCACAAATGAGCTGGATACAACTTAGTGACTAAACAACCACAGTGTTGTAAAGAAGACTGTCTTGGTTATAGTTGACATGAAAGAAGCTTGGTTCGAATCCCACCTGTGCTGCTTCCTAGCTCTGTCATCTTGGGCACATTCCTGAGCCCTTCCGAGCGTGTTGTGTATTTGTCAGAGTTCCTGTGGGGAGTGGATCAGATCATTCAAGAGCAACCCCCTAACAGAATCCGCCTGGCGTCTGGCGCCCAGTCGGTGCCCGGTCTGCAATCTTGTTATCTTCTGCTTCTCAGGGCTGCACCTTCTCGTCTTGCTCTCAAACTGCGATGCTAGATGGCAGGAAGGCGTCAGGCTTCCCAGAGCTGGCATGTTGCCTTCTACACTCTCTAAAGCTTTGGCAGCATCAGGAAGCCAGAGATACACTTTAGCTTGAGTGATGGGTCAATTTCACTAACCTTGAAGGCTTGGGAAGACCTGCTGATTCATTGTGTTTGCAGAATACACAGACTTCTAGTGTTTTTGTGCCAAAGAGGATTTATTTAATATTTTATCATTTAATTAAATAAATCGTGTCCATAGTCAATGTGTGTGTGTTCCAAATGATCCATTTATCTCCCTATACTTTCTGCGAGATCCCTTTCTTGAGGGAAATTGCTTGTGTGCAAGCAGCATTTCTAAGATGGCTTTTCCTTGGAGTTTGACTTGCAGATATTTGTGCCAGGAACTCAGGTTTCAGGTAGTGGGCGGGGAGGCTGCTTAGCCAATCGGAAGGCGGATCTACCCAGGTTATTTGCAAGTCCCAGCCCACTTTCCTGCAGTGCCACCAGGCTGGTGAGCTATCTCCTTGGGGGATGTCACAGCTCTGGTTACGATTTCCTTTCACTCCTTAGCTGCTGGAGCGATCTGATGGGTGCATGCAGATCTCGGCACTACGAATGCATGCGGCACTCAGGTGGGTGGAGCTGTCAAAAGACTGTAGGGTCTTGCTCATTTTGCGATGGCACCTTAGGATGACTAGGAATAACAGTGCTTCCTCTGCAGTGGGGAGTGACTTTGCTCATTAACACACTGATTCATGGCTCCTTGTTTTTCTTTGGCTCAATGTGACATTGAGTGCATGCTCAGTCGCTCAGTCATGTCCAATTCTTTTCAACGCCATGGACTGTAGCCTGCCAGGCACCTCTGTCCATGGGATTTCCCAGGCATCAATACTGGAGTGGGTTGCCGTGCCCTCCTCCAGGGGATCTTCCCGAACCAGGGACTGAACCCACATCTCCCGTGGTTCCTGCATTGCAGGCGGATTCTCTACTGCTGAACCACCAGGGAAGCCCCAACGTGACATGAGTATCTAGAAAAAGGGAAATGTGTGAGAATGCTTGTAAAGTAAAATCCGGTTTTGTAAAGGTAATGACGTTCTAAAATTGGCAAAAGTGCAACTCGGGCCGGAAAAAAAATGAAATAAGCCCAAAATGATTGAGCTCTTCTTAGCTTTTTAGAGTAGTAAAGATTTTCTTGATGTGCTCTCATATTGGTTACATTATTTTAAAACATTTTTCACACAGGAAGAAAGTTAATGCTTCATAGTTTCTATCTCATGATACAACCTGATCTTTGGAGGCCATTCCAGATGCTGGCCCTCACTGTACATTCAGGCATGTGGTTTAAAATGGGTCCTATATGGGCTTCCCAAGTGGCACAGTGGTAAAGAACCTGCCTGCCAATGCAGGCATCACAGGAGACTCGGGTTCGTTCCCTGGGTCGGGAAGATCCCCTGGAGAAGGAAATGGCAACCCACTCCAGTACTCTTGCCTGGGAAGTCCCATGAACAGAGAAGCCTGGTGGGCTACAGTCCATGGGATGACAGAGTCAGACAGGACTTAGTGACTAAACAACAACAACAGCATATAAGGATTCCTTCCAAAGTCCTAAAAAACAAAACAAACAAAGCCTTGCCAAGGGACCTGTATATTACCTAGGAACATTCCATAGATTTGGCCAGAATTCAGAGGGCGAAGCTCGCTGGGAGTGACCAAGCATAGTGAAATGCCGATGTTTGTATAAATGAAGCTGTTTGGAGGGAGAACCCAGAAGAAATTGCTCAAATGTAGCTCTAATTTATGCCAGAGCCACCCAAGCAGGCAGCAGGCCAGACCAAGAGGGCTGCCTGGACTGCTTTCTCTGGGTGCCTTGAAGAGCATGTGTCTATGTGAAGATGCCAGGGCGAAAAACCCATCAATCCCCTCCAGGTGGGAACAGTCTCTTAACCAAGCGAGGGGTCTGTGTGCACTCACGTGCCTTGGGGAGGACAGGGAGGATGGTATGTGACAGAGAGGGTTTCTAAATACCAGCAGAGAAGCATCGGGCGGAGGGTGTGTGTTCTCCTTGAGGACTTCGGGAGTGGCTGGGGTGGCCACTGGTATGAGAAATTAGTCTGGGGATGGGAGCTTCTTGGTACAGCTTGGAGCTGGTGTGACACAAAGTCCCACTGTGCCAGGAGAAAAGAGGGAGACCCTGCCAGACGCCAAATTCACTGTAGCCAACGAAGGGCCAGCATAGCCCATCAGAGAACTGGACTGTCTCTAGCCAGCTGTCTCTCCTGGACACGACCTGTGTCCTTTCCCTGTTCTTTCGCCCACTCGAGAGTGACTCTCTTCCCCTTTGTCTCCAGGAGGAGACCTCTCTCTTCCCGCTCTCTGGCCTGACCTCCTTGCCTGCATGACGCTATTGCACATCTCTGTTGTGGCCTGTGTTCAGATGGCTCTTGGGTACCACGAACTGGAGGTGGCCAGTGACAGCCAATCCCTACCCAGGGCTGCCGATCCACAGGCTCCCGGGGTAGGAAGGAGCCACTTTTGTATCAGCTGCTGTCATAAAGGGCCACTGGCTGCACAGTGTGGAAAGTGGATGTCTGCATCCTAACTACCTTCTCCCGTGGACTCAGGACGGCACCCTTGGTCCCATCAGCCGGTCTTGTAGGGACCAGGCTGCACTGGTCTTCACAAGTGACACAGCATTTTAGTTTTGGTGGCAAGTTAGTTAATGAGGAAATTGAAGGGAGTGTTAAGATCTGCACGCTGAGAGGGTCCTGTTTGTTTTGGCTTCAGAGCTTATTGGGGAATAGATGATTGACATTTTATAATACAGAAGGAGTCTGGACTAACAGGGCTCCTGGGGGAGCAGGGGGGCTTATAGGTGACACAGCCCCCTCCTGGGCTCCTTCCTCACTGTTTCACTTTCATACACTCTGCTCCCCCAGTGAGACTGGTCGCTGGGGGTCTGAGCAGATGGCCTCCAGCTGCAGGTCACGTATGCTCCTCTCTGTCCCGCAGGCTTGGCAGGGCTAAGCCAGGTCAGGTGCAGGCGATGGCAACTTCTAACAAGAATTAGCGTGAGGGACTCATCTGGAAGTCACTTTTAATTTGTCAGTTAAGAGCAGTGCTCCTGTTTCATGATGACTTGATTGGGGAAAAGGTGTCAAGGCAAGTGGGTCTTGATGGCGCTAATAAATCCTTTTGCAAGGTGGGCATGGGGAGACTTTCTGTATCTGCCTAGTGGCCCAATTCTATGCATGGTCCTCCCCATCGCCATCTGGGTCCAGGCCCTGCCTCTGGCTTTGTGTATTAGAATGAAAGCTGTCTGGGTCACTGGGGCTGCCGCATAGAGTGCCACAGCCTGGGGGCTTAACCACAGATGTTCGCCTCTCCCATTCTAGAGGCTGGACATCCGAGACGAGATGCTGGCAGTGTGGGTGTCTGGCAAGAGCCCCTTTCCTGGTTCACAGAGGCTACCTTCTCACTGTGTCTGCACGTGGCAAAGAGAGCAAACTCTGGCCTCCTTCTACTCTCATAAGGGCAATCACCTCAGATCCCACCCCCAAGATCTCATCACTCCCCAAAGGCCCCAAATTCAAACTCCATCACACTGGGGGTAGGATTTCAGTATACGACCTTGGGGGACACGATCCAGTCCATAGCACAAGTCAGGAGCCGGGGTGAGAGTCGGCTGCAGGACGCCCAGCCCTCCTATAAGCCAGCACGTGGGTTAT